TGATTGATTGATCGATCAGCTGCAGGTCTCCTGCAGTGTGAACCCAGTGTTACTGGGTTAAGTGGGATTAATGGTGCACACTGCAGGTGCGGCCGCGGGCCTCAGTTGTTGCAGATGGCGACCTTGAGGATGGGCTGGTAGGTGTCGGACATGGTGGCCCTGACAGTGATGTAGGCCCCCCTGTAGGTCAGGCTCGGCCCCTTGGCTTTGCCCCTGACAAACTTTTGCTCCGACTTGTTGTACATCTCGTCGTACAGGTGCTGGTCGCAGGCTTTGTCCATGTCGAACACTCCCACCGCGTACCAGTTGGAGTAGAAGTTGAAGTCGTACGGCACCGAGAACATCACCGCGACCCTGCCGTTGAACTGCAGGGTGGACACGTGCTGGAGGTCGTAGGTGAAGACGGTCACAGAGCCGCACGCCGTGTGAGGCTTCTTGATGAAGAGGGCGTTGCCGTTCTCGTAGGGGCTGAGCGTGGGAGGCAGGGGCGAGCTGCAGGAGCCGCTCACAATGTGCATGCTGGAGGAACAGAAAGACATCACTGCCGTTACACACCTGCAACACACCTGAACAACCGGCACACACCTGCACCGTCACGCTCAGAGACCATCCATCAGTCGCCAACTTAACCTTATCAGGGTTGCGGAGGGGCGGGAGCCTATCTGAGCTATCATAGGGCGAGAGGTGGGGCACACCTGGACAGGTCGCCAGTCTGCCACAGCTCTAACACACTCACGTTCACACCTGTGGATGATTTAGAGTTCAGCTAACCCCACTGACTGCAGGCGTCTGTGGGAGGAAGCCAGAGGAACCCACACAGACCCGGTACAGAGAGACTCTGGTCCGATGGTGGAGCCGAGGACCTTCTTGTTGTAAGGAAACAATGTCTTCATGTTGTGTGCACACCTGAGAGGAGGGTTGATTCTTGGGCCAAACGCTGCAAAGACTCAAATCTAAAATGCTCAAACAGAGCAGGAGGACTTTTCAGGCCGAGGTCTGAATCCTGTGCACGACATCAAACATGGTGACGGATTAATTAAAGAAACTTTATCAGGCGTTTACTGTTAACGAGCTCGAGTGGAGATCTGTCGGATGAGCAACAGCATCCAGCTTCATCAGCTGGTTTGCAGTGTGGAGGACCAGGCGGTCATCCACTTCAGATTGGAGATGGGTTTAAGACAGAAGGAAGTTAGGAAGGAAGGCCGAAAGGAAGGAAGTTAGGAAGTAAGGCAGGCTGTCCGTGGTGGTGAGGACAGAGCTGAGCAAGAAGCCTGTGATTTGTGGCTTGTTCTGCGTTCCTGTCCTCACTGACGATCGTGACCTGGAGGTAGTGATCGAGCCTCAAAGAGTCTCCTGCACAGACTCGGGCCTGCTGGACAGATTGCATCCCTCCGCTGGTTTGAGTATGGAACTGTTTTCCATATTTTAATTAGCCATTCTCAGACATAACGTATCTGACCCAAAATGGGAAA